AGTATTTTATTGTAACAGCAATTAAGAACGTGTGTGTGCGTGTGTGTGCGTGTGCGTGTGCGTGTGTGTGTGTGTCCCCTTCTAGCCTCCACTTTCACTGCCAGGTGCGGGGTGTCTGTCTCTGTCTGTCTGTCTGTCTCTCTCTGTCTGTCTGTCTGTCTCTCTCTCGCTCTGTCTGTGTGTGGAAAATTACGATATAGATACCGTATATCCCATTTGAGCCCTCTGACCCCTTCTAGCCTCCACTTTCACTGGTGTGTGTGTGTGTGTGTGTGTGTGTGTGTGTGTGTGTGTGTGTGTGTGTGTGTGTGTGTGTGTGTGTGTGTGTGTGTGTGTGTGTGTGTGTGTGTGTGTGTGTGTGTGTGTGTGTGTGTGTGTGTGTGTGTGTGTGTGTGTGTGTGTGTGTGTGTGTGGTGTGTGTGTGTGTGTGTGTGTGTGTGTGTGTGTGTGCGCGCATCCCTTTTAGCCTCCACTTTCACTGCCGGGTCAGATTGACCCGAATATCATCTCTGTGATATAGACATGTAAGGGGGGGTTCCAAATGCATGACATGAACCATTTTCATTTTACTTGTTTATTGCACTAATTAAGGTAAGGAGAAGAAGTTTCATACAAAAGAAATACTTGAAAGTATTTTTCGTAGATTTTCAAACAGGTCAATTTAACCCTGAATGTAACAGGAGGGTTAAGAATTCACTAACATTGCGAGACATTCCGACACCAGAGAAAAATGGTGCCGGTAAAATTGGTGTTTACGTAATCAGTAATGAAGGGTGTTCTTTTCCCCATAATCAGGGCCGGCCCGTAGCACTGGCGTTATAGATGTTTGCCTAGGGCGCCAGATCTGGGGAGGCGCTGCGCTGGGAGCTCTGGGAGGGAAAACTTTTTTTTTGACCGTTGGTGCTCATCCTATTTTTCGGCCTTGATGTAACAACATTCATAATTAAGTAAATGTAACACCCTTTTCACCCCGGTTACACTTTTCATTTGCCCTGTACGATGGGCGCTGTAAGTGATGAAAATGGGGGATGTTGGCTTATCAGGCGCCCGCAGTTCACAGCCAAAATGCGAGTGAGCGTGGGAGCGAGGGAGGGCGCACCGGTACCAGCGCTGTTGTTATTAGAATCTGGTGCTAGCTGCTCTAACGGATATAAGAAGAAGATGTTTCTACAATAATGTGGAGGGAGAGTCCTCCTCTCCAGTCAGACTGAGAGGCTGATAACTACAGCTCAGTGAGGTAAAGGACTCGGAGTGTTTAGATAGTTAACTATAAGTTATCTCAGTGGGTCTCAAACGTTTTGATCACAATTTATGTAAACACATATTTCCAAGGCACTCCTTTATAATTATTGGGATAAACAACAGGTTTGAAATCATTTCAATTGTATACTATAGGACAGTAAACCAAAAATATCGTTTAAAACTGGAGAGATAAAAAAAATGCATTACTAAATAAATGTTAACTAAAAAAAGATATGAATGAACAACAAAAATAAAATAAGTTACATTTATTTGTTATTGGCTATGGTAGGTTATTGGTTATGTTCACATACTTATTTGATTATTAAAATGTAAACCGATCTTTTTCATATGGGTGTTTTAGAGTTGTAGCCTACCCCCTAGATTTAGTAGTAATTCTGCTCAAAGTGCACCAGATTGAAGCATTTTAATTTAAAATGTTCAAACATTTCTTTCCGGGGGGCATACCCGCGGACCCCCCTAGAGGATGTGACATCCATCCCCCATTCTATTGCGTATTCCCAGTGGCGACTGGTCATTAGGGGGCAGGCACAGCCCCACCTAGTGTCAGCAGAAGGTATTACAAATAATGATTACAAAAAAATGCAAAAAATAAATAAAATATATTTTAAGATCATGTTTAATCATCTGATTCGTCTGTACATTGCTGTTTTAGTCTGTGTTCTTCTAATTAGTGTCTACAGTGTGTGCCTATTGAGCTGTTTAGAGCCATGTGGGACAAAACCCGATCATGCCCCTCCCTCTCACTGTCTAAGTGAATGGTGACTGTAAAAACTACACTGCGCATGCTCAGAGTATTTTCCTATTTAATGAGCTGCCATCCCCACCATACGTCATCTCACATAATTCAGAGCTGATTGGCTGTAAGTATGTGTGCCGCAAAAAGTGTGGTGTGTGAAGAGGAGACGAGAGAGCTGCAGTGATGCGTCCTAAAACCCGGAAGTAAGCTGCGCATCGACAAAAAAGCAATGAGATTTCTCCATAGGATTTTAGAAAATACCTCGAAATAAGATCTGTGGGAAACGTACCTGTTAGATAAATGCACGTTTTGTTCAGCCGGATAATATCCACATGTCTACCCTACTTTTATAATTTTCGAATCATAAATCTATCGATTAGATTTATGATTCGACTTTTGAAACTACAAGAAGATAAGGAGGATTTTTACAAAAAAGTAATAGAGATTTTTGTCCAGAAGCAAATGGACTTCATCTTCAAGTCAAGGTAAGACCGCAATTTTATTGAAAATGGGATCTTACTAACAATTCAATATTTAAATGATAAAATTACATTTTTTGGGTATCCTTTTGTTGAACTGTCTGTTTAAAATTAATCGAAGCATCAGACAAAAAAAGCTTTTGAAAATAATATTATATTTTGATTTAGGTCAAAATATAATATTTGTAAACCTGAAGAGTCAGTGCCAGTGCCTCACCAGCCATGAACCTCACTGCAGAAGCTTATATATAGACATCTACGTTTTTTGTGCCCCACCACTTTTGTACATATAAAAACGCCACTGCGTATTCCTTGGATACTCTATTGATCTTTATCTTTTCTATTGTACGATTCTCTGGCTGGGGGGCGCCAGCTAAAATCTCGCCTAGGGCAGCAAATTGTCTAGAGCCGGCCCTGCCCATAATGACCAAGTCACTGCACATTATCCCGCTTATTACATGGCCAGATACTAAACAAACTAAGGAATCGACACCCAATAGTAATTGAAATGATTTTATTGACTTAAAATGATCGTATTTCTTCCGCTAAGAAAAAAAAACTCCGTTCCACGGCGCACCAACGGCTGGAACTGCGACAACAACAACTTTACGGCAGCACTGTCCAACTCTGTTCACAGTTTCTGATCCACTAACAAGTCCTTAAACACTGCAGAGCCCATACCGTGTTCCTGTTAGTGTTGACTTCTTGTCTGTCTTCTTCTGTTCATTTATCTGACGTCCAGCGCTCCGTCTTTTACCCTCTTGTACTTTCTCTTTCTTGATCCTCCTTAGCAAAGGGATTGACCAATCAGAATCGAGTATTCAACTAAGCCTTGTAATAAAAGTTGTTAGTGGCCTACACAGTTGCTGCACTAAACTACATTTTAGCATTTAAAATACCTAGCCATTATTTTGTGGTTATTTTGGTGAAAGTAACTCAAAAGTAATATAAAAGTAGTGTAACTCATTACATTTCAGAGACAATAATATTGTAATGTTACTTATTACTTAAAAAAGACAGTAATAAGTAATATGTAATGTATTACATTTTGGAAGTAACTTGCCCAACACTGCTCTCTGGACTCTTTGAGGACGCCATCTTTCTACCACAGCCAGTTTGCACACTGGACAGCAAGCTGTTGGCACAGAAGCTCCGAAACCTGAAGACCTCTCACTTCTCACCTTTCACGCTCCAGGGGCCCACGTTGGGACATTTAAAATGCCACAAAACATTACTTCGAAAGACAACCATGCAAATTCTGAACTCGGTCTTGAAGAATGGTCGTGTTCCAAGGCTGGAATAGACAGCGCTTTGGGCCTCGCTACTTTGCAGTGGAATCCAGGACCTTTGGGTAGAGCCATCTCCAGTGGGTCACGGTTAGACATCCAGGCTTCACAGATTGAACGTGCAGAGCTGGTCCCAAAGACTGAGATTAAACTTTATCACCGTCGCTGGATCATGCTTTTTCTCTTCAGTGCCGTCTCAGCCAGCAATGCCTTCATGTGGCTTCAGTACGGCATTATAAGCAACATTTTCATGCGTTTCTACAACATTGACTCTTTTGCCATTGACTGGTTGGCCATGATCTACCTGCTCACTTACATTCCTCTCATTCTGCCCGTCCTGTGGCTCCTGAAACACAGGGGAATCCGGGACGTCATTCTGGTTGGGTCAGCCTTTAACTGCATTGGTGCTTGGATCAAAATTGGTAGTGTCAGTCCCAATCTGTTCCTACTCACATTTTTAGGCCAGTTTATGTGCTCGGTAGGCACTGTGTTCATCCTTGGTATTCCCTCTTACCTCGCCTCAGTGTGGTTTGGAGAGAAAGAGGTTTCCACTGCTTGTTCCATAGGAGTCGTGGGAAACCAGGTTTGTCTAAATATATGATCTAAAGTCAGAGACCACATAGTGAGGCAGCTGTCTGTAGATAATGCAGCTGCACTGGATTCCAGTGACACATAGGTCTTCTAGTGTCTTGGTGCGAGAGTCCAGAGAAAATTGAGTTAACTGTTTGCTGAAACCTCCACATTGTACTCAGTCTTCTTAGCTTTTGTAACGTTTAAACAATATTCTTGGCGGAATTAGTTAGACAACATAAATGTTCCTTCCAGACTAGGTGGTACTAAAAAAATATCATGGTTGTCTCATATTGTTTTCTGTTAGTTTGAAGGGGTATGTTTCAGTTGCCTTAAACATGAGCAACATTGATAACTCAAAAGAAAGTGTTTAACCGTTGATAATACTGACCCTATCTACTCTTAAAGATCAATTGGCTTAAGGTTATGAATTTACATTTACCATTACATATATATTTTTACCAATAATTCAAATAACATAAATATACATGTTAAGTGGTGTCAAACAAGCAAAAGTAACCTCTAAATACACATGTTGTGGTACCATTAAGTATGTATGAGATAAAGAAATGAAGTAGCAACAATGGCAAAGAAAATAAATAAAAACTCTCGATTGATATTACCAAGCAAACAATAATGTGTGTTGACTTTTATGCACTGTCTTAGCTGGGTATTGCCATCGGGTTCCTTGTGCCTCCCATCCTGGTGCCGAATGTGGACGACATGGACGAGCTGGCTCACCACATCAGCGTTATGTTCTACATCACAGCAGCAGTGGCCACCTTCCTCTTCATCCTTGTGGTCTGTGGTAAGAGTTGTCATGTAGCACATCAAGGGTCAGTCTGCATAACAAAAGTAGTGTTTTAAAAAAAACGTCCTATCTAGTGTTATCTCGCCATGCAGAAAGTCAGTTATCTTTAAACATCTCCAGATATAACGGAAACTTTCTGCATGTCTAGACATTCCGGAAGCGTATCCATTTCGGTTAGCAAATATACACAAAATGGAATGTAGACTAAAATGCTATTTTAAAACCATATGTCTTACCGTGTAAGTAACGATTTTGTTGGTGAATAAATAGAAAGTCTAAGTGGTCTAAGGTGACATCACCCCCGTCACTCATCTTGTCCTTTTCCCTCAGAAACACACGCAGACTTTTTCATGTGTTTTGTTCGGGCCATTTCTCGCTCAGGCCGGTGGGATTTTCTCATTCAGTGGCTCCACGTGATGATGGTTTTAATTTACAGCGGACTTCTACTCTGAAAAGAAGCATCATTCAGTAGACAAGAAAAGTGCTGACATGCATGTACGAACCAACACAAAACCATCCCTTAAGGGGAGATTCATAAAAAAGAGCCTTTGTGTTACAAGTCAGGAAAGGTCAGGAGAAATGTTGAACAGGCAGAGAAGTACTTGAACAAACTGAACAGTATAGTTTGTTTAAAGCTATTTGTCATAGAGAACTAGAGGATGCATCATCACAAAATGACACTTTCTCATAAAGGGAAGTGGCGTGACTTCATGTGACATACAGGATATGAGTTGGTAGGAAAAGGCTAAGCTGTAAGCATATTATCTGACTTTTGTCCCACTCTCTTATGAAGACATCGCATGGTTTATTCTAATTACTAGAATCATAAGAAGGGAGTTTACAACCTGAAGGGATTAGTCAGAATAACACATGAGGCTGTTGTCCTGTGAGGATGGGGGAGGGCGGGGGTGCTCGTACTGTAAGCATTCTGCATTCAGAAACACAAAAGGATGCTTGTGAAGGCATTCCATAGTGGCACCATGTACAACATTCAGACTGACGATCAGTGTTGTTGGTATAAAGATGAAGAAAGATATAGAGGAGAAATGCTGAGGACAACGTTTCACTGTCTTAAGAATAACCAGTGATAGGACGTACAGGCTTTCCTCCATGTGATTGATTCATTTGGGCAGTGGATGTGACTCTTGGTCATTCCAGCAAGATAAGTCACAGCTAGTTGGCTACAGTAGTTTCATGATATGACACATAAACTCACACACACATAGCACACCCTCACACACACACATGCAAGATGCCATGTGTGAGGGCTGTCCTGCTGGCAGGGCCATCTGTAGCCCGGCAACAGGCCTGTGAGTCAGCAGGGCAGACAGCGGCCCAGCATTTAGAGATTTGCATAAACTGTGTGGAAAGAGAGGTGGGTGAAGGAGTTTGGCTGCTGCCGTCCTCTGACCGAATCGACGGCCAAAGGTCACCACAGTGAAAGGCAAGGCAAGGCAAGGCAAGGCAAGTTTATTTATATAGCACCTTTCAAGGCAATTCAAAGTGCTTTACAAAAATGGAAGACATTATGAAAATGGCATTTAAAATCAGTCATTAAAAAGAAAAGATAATAAAATAAACATTAAAAGAAAAAATACATGGATAAAAGTTAAAAGTTACAGTGCAGTTTAAGATGTGAATAGTTCAATTAAAAGCAGCGGCAAAAAGAAAAGTCTTCAGCCTGGATTTAAAAGTAGTAAGAGTTGCAGCGGACCTGCAGGTTTCTGGGAGTTTGTTCCAGATATTTGGAGCATAATAACTGAATGCTGCTTCTCCATGTTTAGTTCTGACTCTGGGGACAGAACGCTGACCAGTCCCTGAAGACCTGAGAGATCTGGATGGTTCATAATTTAGCAGTAGGTCAGACATGTATTTTGGGCCTAAACCATTCAAAGCTTTATAAACCAGCAGCAGTATAGTGGAAATGCACAAATGCAGTGAAAGTGGAAATAGGCATGTGCAAATAATTTCATGTGCCGTTTTTAAAGAAACTTTCAATTTCTATGAATTACAATGACACTGTTGTAACAGAGCGGCTGTTTCAAAGACAAGGTTGGTTTCACAGGATTAGTTAGAGCAGGTTACTGAACACAAACCCTCAGGTCTGGTTTGCTGGGGGGGAGAAAACGCTGGCTCAGCTTCAAGAACAACAAAGACAGACATCTGTGTTTTCCCATAAAGCCTACAGGCACGTGCTTTTAATGTACTTAAACCAGTCTGAACCAGGTCTCATCACAGTTGTCGCCCTTAAAGTGTTGGCCCTCACGAGGTCAGAGACTTGCTGACTGTTTCTTTAGGCTGTAAAATGCTCAGAGGAAGAAAGTGTGGGGGTGTGTGGACCTGTGCAGCTGTTTCTGAATGTGCATGCCCCCTCACATTTAGGAAGTGAGTAGCCCTCTTGCCTCATATAAAGAGCTTATAATACTGTCCAATAGTAACCTTTCGTTGGCTTAAAGCATGTAAACAATCACGCGAGAGAGTTCCCACTTTAGCAGCTTTAGAGTAGTACAAATATAGTGAGAGAGATTTTCCGAGGGAAATTTGAAACATTGTACATTTCCAATGGACAGAGTTGTTCGCACAGATTCAGATAAATTGGCTGTGTACTCCCAAACATTCCTAAACTATACAACATTCACAGCCATAGGAAAGGTTTTAATTGTTGCTGTATCATAATGTGTTTCTGTGGATACTCCTTGTTGTGGGTACCATATAATGATATGCTCTGTAGGTTTGAGAAAATTAATTAGGACAACATGGCAGTAAGAAATGGCCAACACACTCAAAAAACCGTCCATTTTAATATATGAATCATGTTTGACATTAAAGGTGGGGTAGGTAAGTTTGAGAAACCGGCTCGAGATCGCTAGAATTTGAAAATACACAACCGGAGAAAATCTGCCACTTCCTTACAGAGCCCCTCCTCCAACACACACGAACGCGCACATGACCAATGAGGGCACGAGATAAGTTTGTGCACAGATGGAAGGCTGACAGGCAGGTAGGCCATCCAGTTATTTTAGCAGGGCCGGCTAAAATGATTGGTCGTACTTTTTACAGTATTACGGCTTCCACAGATGACATTTTTTAATGGATTTTTTGTCAAAGCACTTACGATATTCATTGCTATCGGGATGTTAAGAGCATTCCATGGAATATAACAAAAAGTGTATCTCGAGCCGGTTTCTCAAACTTACCTACCCCACCTTTAATACACCAGAACATAGAATATATGTTATATCACATCTATGAATTACAGTATGTGTTCTTGACTGACTCTCCCAGTTCACCTGTGACCTGCATTGTAATCTGTGTGTCTGAGAGTCCGCTGCTCTTCTCTGTGTTTACTGTGATTAATATTGATTGATATTTTGGTCTCTCCATGTGTCAGTCTTCCAGGAGCGACCTAAACTTCCTCCGACTCAGGCCCAGGCCACAGCTCGCAACATCCCCCCTGAGCAGTACTCATACTCAGCCTCGGTCCTCAGGCTGCTCCGCAACCGGCCCTTCATCCTCCTCATCATCACTTATGGTCAGTGTAAAACAAGAAAAACAACCACAGGCAGGGCTTTGGTTTTTCTTTGTATTTGTTTAACTGAAAAATGTGTCATTGATTTTGTCAGTACAATCTCTCACTGTAATCATTTAACAACTGTTTTCCTTGGCCACTTGTTGTGAACAGTACCTCGACATATGATAACCGTTTGAATCAATATAGCAAAGTTGTTAGCAAACACATTACACACCCAGCAATTACAGATAAACATAATCATTTCATTGGAGTAAAGGTCATATGATGACTCTCAGTCCAATTTCTACTCCCTTTTAGATCTGTGTTGGTCTCCACCATCTTCAATTGGAAATATCTGTATCTTCAGCTGCTAATAGGTTACTTTTATAAATATATCCAGTTCAATTGACCAATCCAACTGAAATTTGCTACCAGATTCAGGTATTCCCCGGACACATCACCATACCTACCCTGCCCCACGTGGGTTCCTAAATCTGCTTAGAATTGGTCGGAAACCACTCCCTGATTGTAAAACAAGCCCTGACATGATATACTTTTAAACCAGGTTTATCTTTTCGTGTGTCATAAAAATGAACACATCCTCAGATAATCATCAAGACACGATATTTATTGTGCCCTATTGACGTTCAAAGTTTGGTTTAAGTCTGACGATGTTTAACAAATGATCGAACAGCTGTGAGCATTTTATAGGAACCCTTGACCTCACTGTGTTATTTCCACAGTTCATGCAACTATTATTAGTGTCTCTGGGTGTTTCTCAATCTCGAGTAAAGCTGCTCCAGAGCCACTATTTCAAGCATACTACGTCATCGAGTGCCGCCGAAGGACTGTTCCAATGTCCAGCATACTTGGAATTCTACCGAGCCCGGCGTACTTCGTAGCGAGAAATTTCGAGGCTGCACATGTGTAGACTCCGCGGTCTTAAAATCCCCACAATGCTTTGCGCACGGACCAATTTCCCCAAATCTGTGGCGGAAAATGTAAGGCGGGGCCTCTCATATGACGCACACCTGCACAGTTGCTCGCCTGTTCCACTCTGCGTTTTCCAAATGCCAGGAAGTATTCTTGCCTCGCTTCTGAAGCAAGTGACTCGGAAGACATGTGCTACCAAGCAAGCGTACTCGACATTGAGAAACACCCTCTGTTGTCCTTTTGACTCTTTGCATATGACCTTTAGTCACATGGTCTCAGATTTACCTGAGATTGTCACTCTCTGTTCTGCAGGCCAGCTGTCCCTGTCTGTTACACTGAGCTGTGATCCTAAATAAACAGTTATATTTACATGACAGGCTTATTTACACAGTACTATTTGCAAATAGTATAGAAATATATATAATCAGTTTCTTTTTTTAAATGTTATTAGAGTTTATAATCATCCTCTCAACAATTTGCATCCAAAATTGTTAATTAGCGTAGTGTTTTTTTTTTAGGTTTATGTTCCTGAGCATGTCAGAGCTTTTGTTCGTGAAAAAACACACGACACGCAGACTTGTCCATTTATAGAAATCCTTGTTTTGGTTTGGCTCTCTGTTTTGGAAACCTGCCTGATCAGGTTCATTGGACACAACTGCAAACTCTTCAACTGTTCACATTAAACTGCTTTGTAGTTGCTTAAGGAAGTTGGCACAATGTTCAATTTTCAGGTTTCATAAAAAATGTTTTTGCTATATTTTTTGACAATATTTCTCTAAAACAGGTTTGAATGTGGGATGTTTCTATGCTGTCGGCACCCTGCTGAACCGCATGATCACCGAGCATTACCCTGTAAGTCCTGCATTCTGTGTCTGGTCTTCCCCCAAACTCTTTTTACACTTCCCATAGTTTGATATGTCAGGAATTGAGAAGCTGATTCAGTTGTTATATTTTGCATTGCAAGAACACTTCACACATTGTCATCAACTGTAACATTTAATACCCAGAAATAATGCAGCACAGCATGATTGCAAAAGTTGTACTCTTAAGTTTGAATATATCATTTCCTGTAGACGGTGTAGTAATGTCCTTAATTACATTTCACTTTCATAAAGAGGAAGTAGGCTTTTCTCTATTTAAAGTATATCAACAGGCTGCTGTTATAAGATATTGATAGAATGGAAGGATGTTGCCTGCTGACCTGTTTTATTCAGTTTTACTCAGTCAGTAAGAGATGTGGATGAAGGATTGATGTGACCCCAGATGAATGTAGAAACTCACTCCAATTCCCCATAACTCTCTTATAATTATGTCTGCCTCACTTTTCCTTTGGTATGTAATGTAGGTAAGGTCACTAATCTATGTTCTATCTTGCTTGACCTTGTAGGGAGAAGAGGTGAATGCTGGGAGAATTGGCCTCACCATTGTCATTGCGGGGATGGTTGGCTCCCTGATTTGTGGCATTTGGTTGGACAAAACCAAAACCTACAAGTAAGGCGAAAAAAAAGAAAGTAAAATGACAGTTTGTTCCAAGTGTTGGGAATGAAATAGAACATTAGCCAGCCTTTTTTCTGTTCTGTTTATTGTCATTCCGCTTCTCATCTCGCTGTAGTTCTTGTTTAGTGTTTATGTGTTGCTCTGTGTCTATTTATCCAGGTGCTGCATGCTGCTCTCACAGTCATATTAATGACCCCATGGGCCTTTTGGCTGTGTAGTGACAGCAGTGTCCTCCCTGTGGGGGGTTACAGTCGGCCCCCCGCTGTTTGAGAGATTTGTTTTGCAAATGGGGGAAATGCTAGTGCGTCACACACGCAGGGTCTCTTTCAGTCCCAACTGTCTCCACTGTCTTCCCTTGCCTTATCTCTCATACATATTTTGATTATAATTTAGTTGCCCATTCTTTGTTGCAGATCATCTGTTAATTTGAACATTTTACTAATATAATATATATTTTGGGATCCTAAAACGCACCCCTTATTGAGTTGTTAAATATTTGATATTAATAAGATATTTTTTTCTATCAAAGGCAGTTTCTTTTTAATAAATGTATGTTGTTCTTTCTTTAATTAACCATTATATTTTGATATATTTGATTACATTTGACTGCATTTTTGTTAATCTTGTCCTCACTGTGACCAATACTATTTTGGTGACAGTTGCACATTTATTCGTATTTCTTTCTATGCATGTGTCATAGTTCAACATTAAGTAGTAATAATCGCATGAATTTTTAAGATTCCCTATGGATCCTGGGGCACAAACAAAACAACCCATTAAAAACTGCTCCAAAGCTCTACTAGCGGTCAAAAACTCTTAACTTTGATGTTACATTACACTGCTTTTTAAAATCTGAATAATTGTTTTCATCCCTTGAGAAGCTACAATGGTCTACTACTACACCCACTTTAAAGTAACGAGTTCACACAAACACATAAATAATGCAGCAGAACTACTAAAATGTATAATTATAATGATGATTATAGTGTTCAAGGTTGTTTATTTGTTTCTGTGTTTTTCCAGACAGACAACCCTTGCTGTGTACTTCATGTCTCTGGTGGGGATGATCGTCTATGCTGCCACACTCAATCTGGGACACCTCTGGGTGGTCTTCATCACTGCTGGAGCGCTCGGGTATTCTTTTGTTTTTGAGTACAGTTATGTTTTTGCTAAACACTTAATTGGTTAAGTCAAAGGTTAAAACAACTTGAAATTATATTATATATATTACATGTCACTTGTTAGACGCTTTTATCCAAAGCGACTTACATACTCAATACTGTGGGCAATCCCCACAGGAGCAATTTGTGGTGAAGTGTCTTGCCCAGGGACACAACGACATGCTGACTGCAGTGGGGTTTGACCCCCTGATCCGAACACCAACGCACAACCCACTGCACCCCACGCCTCCCTTATATGAACAAATAATTATATAAATCAAAATACCTGAAAACTTGTTCAACCCTCTTGCACAATTTGTGGCAACTACTTTTCTGTTGACATTTGCAACAATAATTTACAGCTGTGTTTATTCAGAAGTCAACTTTAGATTGATAATCATTTGCAAATCCACCCACAGTAGGATATAGGTTCAAATGTTCCTCTGTACAAACAGACACTGTACTATAAATCAGGATAAAGAGCAGAGGTGATCCTGTTTCTAGGAAAATGCAAGCGTAGGGATACAGGCTACAGTTGAGCTGAATGATCCTGAACAGTTAGATTATATTACTTTACTGCATCATGATAATTCAATTTGTATTAAAACTGCATTGTAGAGAGTCCTAGAACATGGTTAATATCCAAAACTAACAAAAATGGACCAACACATTTCAAACAGTACTAATAGAATCAGAATCAGAATCAAGTTTATTGCCACACATACAAGGAATTTGCTTTGGTATCTGGTGGTGCGAACATAAACAATCTAAAAAAAGAAGTTGCAAAGTAGGTAAAAATAGTCAGGTGGTATTCAAGATGGTCTCATATTTTAAATATCACAGTAACAGTGCTTTAAAATAAAGCTTTTAGAGCCACCATGAATTATATCTTCACAATATATGTATTTTTTTTGTAAATAATACCAGATCTCGTAGCCAGCAGTACTTTTACATCCAGTTTTGACCTTTCTGTTTATGGTGTGAAAACATCACACCTCTTCAGCAGCACAGATTGACTCTCCAGCTTGGGCTCGCCCTCTCTGTGGAGGCACGCGTACATCATATACATACCATACGTGCGCACATAGTGTACATGCCAGCCAGTGGACATGATTAATGTGACTCAGGCTGACTGGTCAAATAACTCACTGAGAGCTTCATTCGTCAATGGAGATGAAATTAGCTCAAGCTAGCTTTAAATTCCTGCTTGAATTCGTGGTATTCTATTGATCAAATTAACTTTTCTTTTACCTAGTGTGTACAACCATTGTCCCTAATATTTTAACCCATCTAAGAATGTAGAAGTGCTTCGACAAAAAATCCATTAAAAAATGTCATCTGTGGAAGCCGTAATACTGTAAAAAGCACGACCAATCATTTTAGCCGGCCCTGCTAAAATAACTGGATGGCCTACCTGCCTGTCAGCCTTCCATCTGTGCACAAACTTATCTCGTGCCCTCATTGGTCATGTGCGCGTTCGTGTGTGTTGGAGGAGGGGCTCTGTAAGGAAGTGGCAGATTTTTTCCGGCTGTTTATTTTCAAATTCTAGCGATCTCGAGCTGGTCTCTCCAAAATGACCTACCCCACCTTTAAGCCTTTCCCTAAACATACTAGTTTCTGGAAGAACAACATGGTTCTAGTACCTGTCACAACCTGTAAAACATCACCACGTCTAAGTCAAAAACAAGGGTGTTTGCATTTCTTAATAAAGCAGGAGAGGAAAAAACACACCACTGTATAAAGTAGGTGGAAGGTGTGTTTCTGCATTACCCATAAATACATTATCCAAGCTGTATAATTGGAATTAAGGTCAAATAAATGGCAGAATTATTCATATTTAAGCTACAATCAAATCAACTTGTGATTCTCTTTGTTAACTGTATGTCTCTATGCTTCTCTGTGTGTGTTTGTGTGTGTCCAGGTTCTTCATGACTGGCTACCTGCCGCTGGGCTTTGAGTTTGCGGTCGAGCTGACGTACCCAGAGTGTGAAGGAACCTCATCCGGACTGCTCAACTGTTCAGCACAGGTACGATAAAACTTTATTGTCAGATCAAATGTAAAATGTTCTCGCATCACAGCAGCTCCTTTCACAACATCAGCAAGGTCAAATATTAAGGACAAGAAACAAGGAAACAGACATTTAATATAACATCACGATCACTGAAGATCACATTTGATCAGGGATTTCACTTTAATTGGAGGAATGACTGGTGCACAAAAGAGTTCTTCAGTCAAGGTGTGGTTTAGAATAGAATAAATAATAGATCCGCAAAGCCCAAAGAGATAGCGTGAGAACATCTGCTTATGTTGTTCCTAGTTGTACAAAAAGAAAGTGAGTAAGTTGCTTCTTTCCACACAACAATCAGTATCAGTGCCGATTCCAAGAAGAACTGGATACAAATATTCAAACAAAAATAATACAGTTAACTCGAAGGGCCGTTTCCATAAGTGAAAATCAGATCCGCTCCTAAATGATATGATTTCTTCCTTGGCCCATGCTACACATGTCCCCCAGGTTTCATGAAAACTAGCCAGTATTTTTTCATTATCCTGCTGACAAACAGAGAAACAAACCAAACTGAAAACATACCCTCTTGGAATTTTCTACTATCCTGATTTGACCTTGCATTCGAAAGTATGCAGAGGAGTTAGGTCTTTGCAGACCTTGGAACTGTTCTATCATATGTGCAACAAACAACATGCTTGCAAACTATGTATCACCATGTGAAAAACGTACAAAATGTTGCTGTGTGCTTGTTTTGTTTTGGCTTCCTTGATAGTTTTTTTTTTGCCATTTGATATCAATACCACTAGACCTGAGTTGCTGAGCATTTGTTCAGCATCTGTTATGGTTGTGAGGGTGCTTGTGTGCATGTTAGCACCCACGTTATTTCTTACTCCTACATGTTTTGTCTCTGGTGGGGATGATCGTCTATGCTGCCACACTCAATCTGGGACACCTCTGGGTGGTCTTCATCACTGCTGGAGCGCTCGGGTATTCTTTTGTTTTTGAGTACAGTTATGTTTTTGCTAAACACTTAATTGGTTAAGTCAAAGGTTAAAACAACTTGAAATTATATTATATATATTACATGTCACTTGTTAGACGCTTTTATCCAAAGCGACTTACATACTCAATACTGTGGGCAATCCCCACAGGAGCAATTTGGGGTGAAGTGTCTTGCCCAGGGACACAACGACATCCTGACTGCAGTGGGGTTTGACCCCCTGATCCGAACACCAACGCACAACCCACTGCACCCCACGCCTCCCTTATATGAACAAATAATTATATAAATCAAAATAACAAACCAAACTGAAAACATACCCTCTTGGAATTTTCTACTATCCTGATTTGACCTTGCATTCGAAAGTATGCAGAGGAGTTAGGTCTTTGCAGACCTTGGAACTGTTCTATCATATGTGCAACAAACAACATGCTTGCAAACTATGTATCACCATGTGAAAAACGTTATTTCTTACTCCTACATGTTTTGCACGCCCAGGTGTTCGGCATTATCTTCACCATCAGCCAGGGGAAGATCATGGACAGATTCGGCACTCTGGCAGGAAACATCTTCCTCTGTGTTTTTCTTCTAATCGGCACAGTAATGACAGGTAAGACCTTTCTGACTGTGAAACATATGCTGTGTGGAGTCAAAGCAAAGTACATATTGTATGTCACGCACAGCAATGCTAGGAATGTATTTGTTTGTTACTGTTTTTGTTGAATCCTAAGAATGTAAATGATGGTTACTGTTTTTTTTTGGAAGATCTGTTTAAGGGTTAAAAGTTAATATCCACATACAGTAGAACAGAAAAGCAAATGTGTTTTTATTATTGCGTACACTTACAAAAAAATATTACTTGCAAGAATTGTAGTTGAAGCTCCTCCTGGTTTATAGTACCTTTTCCCTTACTTAAAACGAGTTACATAAAACAGAGGGTAAATACTTAGGCAGAGCGAGTGTGTTACCACTGGTATTTTGTTTTTCGCTCAGTCCTATACTCAAAGTATATGTTTTTAATTAAGTAAAGCCCAGAGCAGATACAAAAGTCAGAGGATGGAACCATAAACATGTTGTTGTTCATTGACTAAGTAATGGAAAACTCTTACTCTGAAGGTCATTAACATACTGTGTGAGACGCTGCACATGCACACTGAAATACATAGAACCGGTTGCAGCTTATTTTCAGGTGTTACATGTGAGACTTCATGCTTCAGTGAAAACAAAGCTATTTTTTTGAAGGGCTAATTGAGGGCCAATGTATAACTTTTGCTCAATGCGAAGGCTACTGAAGCGCTTCAAATGTTGCACACTAGAAAAATACTGCAAGACTATTTAATGAGACCTTTCTGCTATCAAAGGTCATCCGAGTTACTCATTGTACTTTTCCCATCATTTCAGACATGAGTAGACTTCATGTTGTGTCATCACACAAGAAAAGGAACATATTTGTGAACCTGAAAAGAGCCAGTAAAACATTTATGTGCACAAGAGCCCCCTACGGGATGCTTACTCGTATTACATCATGTCCTTCAACTACACTTGTTGTGCTATAATGACCTCATACAGGCTTGACTTGCTCTGTGTCTTTTTCTCTGTAGGCCTAATCAAGTCTGATCTGCGGAGACAAAAGGCAAACATGTTGGCCAAAGCAGCAGTAAGTGTTAAAGATATAAAAAAAGGTGTTGGGGATATAATGTCGTGGAGCAATGGTAGTTGTAATATGGTTTGGTATAATCCTTTTTTTCATGGAAGATGTTTTGACAGTAGAAGCACAGACGTAGAGAACAAAATGAAGTCAAAAATATCTGCCGTGAAAAAAAGACCTATGTGTTATTTGTTTGCTTGTCATAAGTTTGCATGGAAGGCATGCGGTCAAAAGTCACATGTGTGTCTTGTGTTGCTCCAGAAATAACTAGCCTATTGTGTCTGTCTACTTTTGTCTTGGCCTGCATGTTTGTGTCTGTTCAAATATTTTGATACGTGATTACTGTCTCTCTACGGCACTATGTCTGTCATAAATCATGTCTTTCTTCTGTTTAACCTCGATGTTACCTGCCAACCTCTGGTAGCATTGCTTTGAGTATGTTGTTTGGGAAATAACCTGATTTAAAAAAAAAAAAAAAAGTGAAAAAACCGACATATTACCTCCAATAAAACAAGAGCAACATTTTGAAAATGTTTGAATTCGACCTGAATGCAACCAAAGCAATGCTACTCTAAGGAGGTGACAGGACTACAGAAAAAAATCATTGTTGATGTCTGAGTGAGTCTATAAGCTCCAAGGTGAAGTTACTGGTGACAGGAAATAAGTCAAATTCCTCACAAATGATGCAAACATGTAATGAACAGAAAAAGCTAAAAATGTTATTGGAAATTCAATTGATGGTGGAGAGCCACATGAGACAATCGATACAACGCTCATAACTTTTAAATACAAGGCTGAAGCCAGGAGACGATTAGCTTAGCAAAGCACAAAGACAGGAAACAGGCTGATCTTGGAACAAAACCTACTAAACAACTACTTAACCAATTATAGCTTGTTTGTTAAATCAGTACAACAATTCAACATTTGATGTTGGTTTACATGCCAAAAATATTTTCTGTCTAGAAGCTGAACTAAGCTAAGTTAGACTAAGCAAAGCTAAGCTAATCAAAGCTAAGTTAAGCTAAGAGTCTTACAGTTAATATACAGATATGTGAACGTGATATCTCCTGACTTAAAAGTCAGTGAACAATTACTTTGTACTAATACTTTAGCATGTTCAATACCTCTCAGGCTTCAGCTATACAAAAATGGAAGCATTAAAACCTTAAAGAGTGTTACAATCTCAATCAGTAGTTGGGGACAAGCAAGAATTGACTGGGGTTAATGACAAAACTGCCTGATGGATCAGATTGTGTCGCAGAAACTTCATCCTGGACTGGAGACTCACTCCTCTATAAACTCTGAATAAGAAGTGATTAGTAGCTGTTGTTTTAGGCGGCGAAGCAGATGTCAGGACAAGACTACGGAACCACAGCGCTAATCTCCAATCCACTGACCCCCCCTTCACAAGCCTGATCAATGTACCTTTCTTCTTCCACAAAAATATCTTCTCAAATCTTAGCTCGACATGCAGATACACTAAGGTAGGAGCTCAACAATCAGCACACACTGCCGTAAATCACAATCCTGTTCACCCTGCTCGTTCTGTCCCTTTGTTTCCAACTACTCTAAATCAAATTCACAATATCATGTAAATATGAAACCTTTTATTTTCTCACTAATCCTGTTCTAGATTATTATATTCGATGATACCAAGGAGACATGCATGTCCATACAAAACCATTTTAGCTCATTTATGATAGCTTTGTTAATGAAACTATGGCCTTATATTTATTTATGTGTGATTTTATTATGTATTCATATACAGGCGTTTTTCTGAAAGACATGTTGGCACAGGTTTTAATTATTTAATTATTAGTGGCTGAATTCCACTTGGCTGCTTCAGCTGGGGTCTCTGGTTCAGACAGAGTGAGATGTGTTCTCATGCAGGGGGTAGAAAACAAATGGTAGGGATTAAAAGCTTATGAGAAAATCAACAAGTGAAGTTGTTTTTGTGCCTTTAAAACTCTGAGAAGGAAATCTCTCGGCTAGCTCAGATTTGCAGGATTAACTCCAGTGAGCCAGTCAGAGTGATATATTTTATAAAGTGTACGGATGGCTTTCACTGAAACTACAGGAAACAATGCACTTTTACTGTGTGTGTAAAGCCATTCCATGAAGACAATGTTATTACATTAATGTTAATATCCCGTGCTTGCTACGACATGCCAAAATGTCTAATGTGACAAGGGCCAATTTATGTGCTTTTGTTTATCCATTTGTGTGTTTTTCATCTGGCATGTTTTCTGTAACTTGCGCTGTTTTTCATCAAGATCTTTCAATTAAAACATAGTTCAAATAACTACACAGAAGCAATCCTATTTCTGAAGCTAACGAAGCAGCTTACATTGTTTTGTTCTTTGTTAAGAGTGTATGAGTCATTTTGCACCCATTCCGACCTAAAGGGATAGTTCACCCCTAAATAAAACAAAACAAGTTATTCTTTTCTAACTTTAGTAATTGTTGTATCTCCTGACCCAGTTACTTAGGATAATGTGCAGAACTTGTTGTGAGTAGTTTATTTTTACGATATCACCGTACAGAAGGAACTCGAATATACTCATGGACGAGATTCTTTCTGAGAGCTAAGATTACATTTCAGCAGAGAAGGACGCCATTAATGTTTACATTTCGCTCTGTCACATGGTTTTTCCCGTGAGCAGATTCACGCCTTCTTCACAGTGATTCATTTGGAGGTGTAGTCCAGCAGAAATATATGACATTTATTTTGGTGCTTGGAGAACCAACGCTCAGTGCCATTACATTCTAGATAAAATGTCTCCAAAAATCAAACTCACATCAAGACAATCTAAATAAATAACTGTGTTCTTTGTTTAGGGGTGAACTTCCCTTACCTACCTAAAATCTACAGAGAAAAACAACAACTTCTGTGTTGAATCCATAACTCTGTTGACTTATTGTTTTGATTGATAGGGACCTTCCGACTATCCCAATGGGAGCGTGGCTGCATCGCCTATCATCGAAGAAGCCAAGCTTTAGAGGCCAAACACACACACACACACACATTTGAATACTTTATTTGGTTCCACAAATTATATTACATAAGACAGGGAATCAAATATATTGGGGCTAAGCAGCACAGAACACTTAGGGGAACACATAGCATCTCATTCTCCACATGGCTAAGCAGCAGCCTTAAGGGAAGCTTTAGAGGCCAAACACACACACACACACACACACACACACACACACACACTAAAGTAAAAGCCTTGAAAAGGACCATGATCTCCTTTCCTGTTACAGTGTAACATACTGAGATATATCAACTCAATTAGGAAGTATTGAATCCCACTTCCCTTCTAAGAAGAGTTAGATGTACAATGTTGTATTAACTATTTATAAATAAAAAAAATGTTGAATTAAATTGGATATTTAATGCTCAATTTCAGCATATAAAATCCACTGTTATTGTTATTTTTAAGTGTTACTTGAATTCTCTCACTAAATCTGCAAGACAAATCTGTGACTTGTTTGTTTGTGCCTTGACAATTTTACCTGTCAGTATTTTAAAAGGTGTACACTTGATTGTGTATAGGTTGTATAGGTACATTTTCTATAAAGAAGTGACTAATGTAATTATTGCATAAACAATTAATCATGTAAATACAGTGTCCAGGTATTCATTAGTGATTTTGATAGATATTTGTGATTCAATAATTCACACAGTCAAAAGTAAGGGATACAATTCATGACAGACAGCTGAGTAATATTATTTGTAAAACCATGCATGTTTACTTATTTCATGTGAAATAAAACTGTTTTATAAAATTATTTTTTGTCATTTGGTGTCATGCTGTGTGTCACATACTCACATTGTATACATCTCAAGGTGAGACAACCTGATAAAAGGCTATTATGATAAAGGATAGGTACTGTATCTGTAAAATCTGTAAAATACCGGTGAATGGTACCAAAGTACATTCACATAAATATTTATTTAAGTACATTGAGGTAATTGTAGTTATGTTTTAGAAAATACTTCTAATAAACTTCATCTCCAAGGAAAATAATTTTGTCATTAACTTTATTTGACAGCCGCATTTACCATTCACCATTGAAAATAGGATGTTAAAGTGTAAAAGAACACAGGATTCAATACAACATCCCTTACGATTTAGATGTGTATACGTTCTTGGGAGTTACATTAAAGGCTGAAGTTTCCCTCTAAGTGTTTCTTCTTTCTTCCCCCACTTAAATTATCTTTTCAACTTGGGAGGGAGGGGCCCAACCCTTATACATTCTATAGGAGGGGCCCAACCCTTATACAGTCTATGGGCCTGACCCAGTTTGGCAACCTCTGACCTACATTTGATACAGTAAAGTCTTTATGAGGGTTGAAATAGCACATTTCCTTTACTTAATAAGTAACTTATACAAATATGTTTTTCTAGGAAGGTCGGCTTGTGTTTATTTATGTTTAACTAGGCTATGGTAAGGCAAGCATTGTAGGAGACTTTGTAGAGACTATAGGCTATTTTTTAGCTCATGCAATATATAGCTATTAAAGTGGACCTATTATGCTATATTGGACAAATATATTATAGGGCCATACCTATGAAGTTTTTTGCTTAAAATACCAAACAGGGATTTTGGGTCCTCACCTCCTCTAGGGGGGTCCGGGGGCATGCTCCCCCAGGAAGATTTTTTAAATATTGAAGTTAAAAGCATCAATCTGGTGCACTTTGAGAGCAAAATTAAGAGATATGGATACATCTTTCAACACCCATATGAAACAGAACTGTAAACAGATTTACTTTTTCTTTATGGATATTTTACAAATCACTCCCCTGTGACTGTATAATGTAAGGTAGCTTCGAGCTTCATGTCGAACACTGACAGTAAGTCAACATTTCCCAGAGGATTTTTAGAACTCACCAGGTAACGCTAAAAAACATAACATTTATATTGTATGACAAAGTGTTAATGTAATATCTCTGGCTAGCTATAGCTACTTGCTAACGGTTTAGCTTACCCGCACGATTCAAAGTAACGTCAACAACGTAGCTGTAATTTATGCTTTGCTTACATGTTCGCATAACTTGGAAGTTTACTGACATTTACATACCTTGTTTACCTGGCGCAAGTGGTGGCTCTGGGGTTGTTGTGTGAGCCGCCACTTGAGAATTGTCATCTTTTTTAAGAAAATATGTTCTTATGTCCATCTTCAAAAACTCTGAGTCCGACTGACAGTTTAAACATTGTCACAGAATAGGTACCTGTCAGCCAATAAGACACGTTTATTTCCATGCAACTCTCTGGTGATTGGTCTGGTGTCTTGCCTCTGTTGCATTCACTGAACACGGGAAATTACAATCCTGCCGTCCTCTCTAGTGTCATGATGAGGTTCAGGTAAAGCACGGTTAATGTATTATATTATTGAGGGAGAATTGTCCGGGGCTAAAGAAAAAACATCAGGGGCTTGGCTCCACTAGCACCCCCCGTCCCCGTTGACGCTCGCGAAACAGAGGGCCTCATCATATAACTTTGCATGGGGCCTCATGTTGGCCAGGGACGGCCCTCACAGTACAGGTTAGCTCTGAGTGTTAGCAAGGCTTGCTAATGTAAACGAAGACGAGATTACGTCGAAAACACGTCAGGCATTGTTTCTGATAGCAACTTTCTGTGGGTCCGTCGCCGATTTGACGTCATATCGGCAGCAAATCTGTATCCGCTCGTTGTACCCCCGTTTTTAAAAGATTTGGGTATGGAGGAAAAGAGAAAGGGTTTTATTTTCTGACGCTGCGTGAGTTCCCTGACACACCGGGGACACATATTTATGTATAAAAGACATAAAACAGTGCATTTTGCATGATAGGTCCCCTTTAAAAGAAATCATTACGGATTAAGGTTAATTATTTTTGTTCCTCGGCATAGTTTAAAAAGTAAAACAAGTAGCATTTACCTATATTTATCACTTAATGCCCCGCCCGACGAGCACGCTAAGTGACACAAATCAAACACACCTACGACGTTGTGACAAACAGCCTTCTGGGTGTGGTTATTCTAAAATGCTAATTATCAACGTGATAGGGTCCCCAGTTAATCAGGAACTTTTACCTTCAGTGTGTGAGGACTTTCTGCTGTTGCTAAGCCTCATAAACTCAACATGTTGTTAAAACTAAAGGTGGAACAGAGAGGCCATGTGGACGGATTACATTATTTAAAGATGATTCATCAGAGAAACTCAAATCTGGAGCAGATTGGGGGGGAGGACGTATTGGTGCATGAAGATCAAGATGCTGTATTACGAGGTGAGGACAACACACGAGTCTATCCAATAGAGTCTATTGGATAAATAATTACAGGAATTTAAATACCTCTTTTGGCCACAAGGTGGTAGCATTGTTATACATAACCCAGCATGAATCAGGAGAGGGGCAAAGGAGGCACAAATCATAATCAAATTCCTATTGTTAATATCATTTGTGGTCTCATGTTTTAATTCAACCAACCTTAGAATTCAGTACCTGCTAATAAGTGCCGGTTAGAATAAATGACTACATTAAGCTTCCTATTGGCACAGAGATACAGTGGCCTCTGAGCAGCCCTGATATGAGATCATCCTGACTTTTGGCCAGTACTCTGAGAGCAGCTCCCATTTGTCTGATTCTCTGATGATCTCATTGTTCTCCACTGATGACCGATCCTTGGCATAGATTGGTTGTTGTAAAGTTCCTGTCATGACTTTGTCTGGTACTACAGCTTCATTTGCACGTGGATCAGTGAAAATACCATCCATTAAAACAAAATCCAGCTGTGATGATGGCATAACTGTAGCACTCTCTGCAATCATATATACCTCACTTCATTCTAACAAATTAGTTCTACAGCAGTTGTGAATTGAATGCTACTTTTATTATTTTACACTTAAGTTCTGACAAGAAGAAAGATGCAACAGAATAGTTTTTGATTGTATCAGGAAGGCATGAGCTGACATCATACCCATGCACAGGCTTTTACTGTTTCAACACTATTTAAACAGCATGCCACACTGCAGAGGTTCTTTCTTTTTATGACATTAATTAATGTGGATTATATGAACTGTAAACAGTAAGGTCACAGAAGGACGAGCAGGGGGGAGGGGAGCTTGGCCTCACTGGGGAATCTCCTGCTCACCCACATGTAGAGGTGGATATTTGAATAAGACTCCTTGAATGCATTTGGCATTTTAGCGCCTGGAAGAACTTATTGTAAAGTGCGACAGTGAGAAGTCTAGCGCGTGTTCGTTGACAGTTCTTTGTCAAGTTCTTTGCTTCATTTGTTTGCTTTGAAACCAGAAGGAAGGTCCCAAAATAGTTTTAACTTATTATTGGTCACTTTGAGAAAAACTTGTATTTCAAAACCACACATTTTCGTCTCTACACTTCTGTTTGTGTACAGATTAAACAGTCTCTATTATAAGTGAGGTTGAGAGCTGTTAGATAGTCTTTATCTGCTATCAGAACCAGGATAGATGGTTCTCCCTCCAGTTTGTATGCTACGCTAATCGCCTCCTGGCTCACGTTACTGACTTAGCGCACAGGCATGAGAGTGGTATCAATCTTCTCATCTTACTCTTGGCAAGAGCTAGACTAGGGGCATATTCAAAAATGATTATTTTTAAAGGATATCTTACTTTTGGCCTTGAAGAAATGGTAATGTACCAGATTACCAGCATCACCACAGGATGGGTGTGATGGTGTTCCTCACTGTCATGGCACGCAATACTGAATACTGTGAGAAGGCACAACGCTTCATTCTGCAGTGGTGTTGCATGATGGTAAAGTACGTCATTGCCCTGAGGGTGGCTGATCCTATCTGCCTGCTTCTGGCGCTTCACAGATATTATCAATTCTCACCATGATCCATTCTGCACCCGCAAACCCGAGACCTAAAATACACATACAATTACAAACACTATTTTAAGTTTGTTTAGAGAAGTAAGAGGAAAACAGCATTGTGCTTCAGTTGGATGTTGTTTATGTCAAGTGAGGTTTGCAGACTAGATTGAAGGCCTTCTCACAACTAGTTAGAAACTAGAATTAAACCATGGCTGCCAACAATGCAGCTAGTTGGTGTGGGAGTGCAGATATAGCCCTCAGACACATGAACCATGAGCTGGAGGGAGGCATGTGGAGGAGGGAGGCTGATGGAGCATGATGCAGTGCTTCTTGTTTGTGTTGCCTGTTTTAAAACGGCTACGGAGATGGATGGTGCTGGCTTTGTACAGTACAAGTAGTAAAGAGGAAGCCTCTTAGTAAGAACAATTAATAATGCGTAAAGCCTTTATTAGCATTATATAGAAATTATAAGATCAGAAACAGTCGGTACTTGTCAAGGATGACATCAAAACAATTGCAAAGATACTTCCAAAATAGGGAGATAAAAGTATGCGTAGCTGTGAAGTGAGTGCAGTGAAGACTGTGTCACACACAGATGGCTTAACGAGCACCTCATCCATGCACATTCTGGAGAAATATAACTCACAGATGGACTGCGGAGAAGGGAGGTGCTCAAACTGTAAACTGATTCTTGATATTCGGCGGTGGCGAGGCGCCAGAGGAGCTGTGCTTGGTACCAGAGTTTTATTTTTTCTTCCTCACTCCACAGAGGATATGAAGGCGTCCCCGCTTCTAAGTGTAGTCACTCTTTCATTTATGTTTGTGTTTGTGTGTGGCTTCCTTTAGTCACTAGATAATGAATGTTTGAAATGCTAAACAAATCCATTACATTTATGCTTGTTTTTTTACATTCTGATAATACAAAAACACAGAATGTATCTGTTGGGTCTT